GGAGGCAGGGGCTGCAGCTGCAGCTCCTGCTCAAGCTCGTGAGGAACAGGCTATTTCTGGCCTGTTCCGAAACCCTGTATTCGTGCCTGAGTCCTAGGGGTGGTYGAAACAATGAGGGCCTGAAAAAGGCCCTCCATTTCAGGCTGGAAAACCTCTGGGCCTGAAAGGCCCAGAAATAGGCTGAAACGGAGTAGGGCCTGCAGACCCTCGTATTTCAGCTTTCAGGCTGAACAACGGGGGCCTGTAAGCCCTGAGTTTTAGGCTTTTAGGCTGAAAGTGCGGGACGGGCCCTGCAGGGCCCGTGTGGCTACGCAGTATGCCACAGCATGCGACCCTGCTTAGGAACTCTTGCTGGTGGGTTCTTGGGATATGGTGAGGTAAGAATTTGTGCAAGGAAAATAAGCAACAGCGAGATGACAATTCCAGATCACACCATCACATTGAAAGCCAAATAGTCACACCGTGTCCAGAGAGCACCATCACATTGAAAGCCAAATAGTCACACCGTGTCCAGAGAGCAGCATTGCACCAATAATACACCAATGGAGGTTCGTAGCGCTGAAAACCAATGTTCATGGAGAGCATACTCTCTCCTCTCAACACAAGAGTCCAGTTCCTTYACACTCACACTTGGCGCTCAGCGCCCAGCCTACTCTACACAGCTACTACAGACTACGAAATGACAATGCAACTGTTGACATCAGCGGCAGCCCGAAGTACTTGAAGATGTCGCCCATGCAGACCATCGCCAATACAAGGTAAGTGCCCTCAAATCATCATCATCATCATCCTTCACCTATCCCCTGACTACACCCACGTCTGTCCTCTGTTTCACCCGAAGACCACCCCTGCGCCTCACTGTAGTCCAAGCCCACCAGCTATGGTGGCTGGGCTATGGCGCTCAGCAGCGCCCTTCTTCCCTGCACGACCGCACGTGCTGCACCTCGCCTCTCAGCGCCAGCCAGCAGCCGTGAGTCTTTGCTCCAGCAACGCTGCCGCTAGCATGCGAGTGCCTGAATGAGGCTGCCTGGAGTGAGCTCTTTCCTTTATGGAAAGAGCTGGCCTACTCGCGCAGCCTGGCTGCACTGGCCTGGGCCCAGAAGCTTCCGGAAGGCCCCAGGAGCCTGCCTGTGTACAGCAGCTACTGGGCTGCTGGGCCTCGTTCGGTTGGGCTCCCAACTGTCTCTGTATGAGGCTGCGAATCATGCCCAGGGCCTGCATCCTTTGGAAAGGCCCGGAGGGCCGTGGAAATGTCTTTGTTGCTCGGCCTGTGTTTCTCTCAACCAACTGGCGCGTCGCAACTGCCTGGACCCCAAATATGAAATTGACAGTCGAGGGCCTCTTGCAAAAAGCCAGGCCCGCCTTCACTTAGAGCGGGCACCTCCGCCTTCACTTAGGGCGGGTAATGCTGCAAACAGGGCCCCATAGGCCTACCGAGGTCCCTGATCCTCGCATTTGCTTGTTCTGTTTGGTAGCTTTTTAGGAAGTAATCTCTTTTTGGTTGGCAATCTTGGTTTGGAATCTTAGTTGAAATTGTTTAGGATAACCGAGTTAGCGTTTGTTCTACAGGGGAGGGGCTCCACCTAAAGGAGTGGAACTGGAGGCCTTGGGGCTCCTGAATCTGCCGCTTTACTGTTCATAAACTTTTGCCTTGGGTAATGTGGCGGGCCGCCATGTGGGCTGAAACGGGGCCAGTGCAAGGTCGAGGGAGAGGAGAGGCGGGTTGGGGAGCGCCTTCACCTTCCGGGCACAGCAGGAGAGTACCAACCACGAGAGCAGGAAGGGCAGTTTGCTTTTCGGGAAAGAGAACCTGTTGGGGCTCCAAATTTCCGCTTGGAATTTTTGAAAGTTACATGTTGCGGGCAATGGATGGGCTGAGGAACGCCACAGAGACGAGGTTCTAACACCCAACCCATGTGGCTGAACGTTATATACATGTCGCTCTGCACATGTGACTGAACCTTATATATACATGTGGCTGAGCGGTATATGTATCTTTGCGTAGACAAATCATGAGGGCATCCAGGCCCCCTTTAAAAAGGAGAAAACAGAGAGGGTAGGGGGTTCTAAGTCTTCTGACCAAATTTGAGTGCTACGGGCAATGGAGAGCGCACCACTCTTCCTCTTTCCCCCTCCCTCCTCCTCCTGCCACATCTCCCCCTCCTTCACAGCACGCCAAGAAGAGCATCATCATTTCTTGTCGCTTCTGCTGGCTGGCCATAGCTATCCTCATTTCCATCCTCCCCCCCCCCCTTGACTGTGTGTTTCCCTCCTTGTCATCGCTTTTTTTTCCCCTTGTTCTTTTTAACCCAGCCTTGGTCTACTAGAAGAAGTGATATGAGCAGCCCCTTCTAATAGGCCTACCACTGGTCGCTCAGGTCCACTGGTGGGGAGCAACACCTGATGGAGAGCCACACCTGCCGGAAACTGGGTCCAGCATCCCAGATACATCATGGACCGGGGCCATTACCCGGGTTCCGCTAGAAGAGTTGTTTAAGAATTATCTAAGAAATTGAGATGATTGGAAGCTTAGTGGCCAGTCGGACTAAACTGGGTCTATCCGGGGGGTACTGGGACCCATGTTCCATCACATATTATCAAATTCATCAATCAATCTCGCTCCCGTATGCCCATATATGAAGCAAGCACACAAGCATGCAAGCACACCGTCTCACAATCCTGTGACCGGACAGAGTGACTCGATAAAGGAAGGAATACATGTCCGAATAACTGAGCATGGCGCATACGTAGTGGACGTTAGTCGCATAACAATTATCTTGATGCTCGTACACCACGTGTCATTTGCACAAATGCATCACTCAGAACGTAACATTCATTTGAAATTTGAAATTTGAAATTTAAAAACTTTGAAATTTGAAAACAAATTCATAATTCTCATTTCAAACAAAAGGCATTTCATGCAAGGATTGGCAATCATCCAAAGTACAACAAGTAGCAGACCAGCCCAGCATCAAACCGGTTCTTTCTCCCCTCTCTTTTTTTCGCGCCTTTTCTCCTTCTCTCTCAAGCCCCTCAGGGAATGTCAAGACCAAAAAGCATAACAAGGCAAACCAGCCGCAAACACCTTTTCTTTCCTCTCTTTCTCCTCCTCTCACTTTCTCCATTCCACTCCCTCTCCCCCTCTCATCTTAACCTCCTTCACCCAATCAAAAAGACCTCCACTGTCATTGAGGGAGCTGCGTTAAGGGAGAGGGGGGAGGGGAGTGGACATAAGCCCCTCTAACAACCTCTCCTCCCTCC